GGCTAAACTTTCCTAATATACTTTCTGATCTTCAATAATTCTAAAAAAACCATAAACATGTAAATTATTTAATTAGTTACATGGTTTTAAGTAAAAAAAATAAATTAAAATTATATTTTATATTTTAATAAAATAATAATTGCACTTAAAAAGCGTGAGAACAACAGGCATTTAAAAAGTAATATTTTTTAATTTTTCTATGCTTGAATAAATTTGAGAAAAAATGAAAAAATTAATTGAAAGAAAAAAAATGAATGAATATTTGTTTTAATAAAACATGTCAAACTTGAAAAGCAAGCAATTACAATAAAAAAATTATAAAATAATATTTAACGAATATTAGATACTTTTTACATGTATTTCAATTTGCATGCCGAAACTTTAGAATATTCAGATCGGCAGTTGTATGCCGTCCTAAAGCAAAGATAGTTCAGCTTTTGCGTTGGCAGTGCCATATGCTGACCTGAATTTCGCTGACTATATATATATATATATATATATATATATATATATATATATATATATATATATATATATATATATATATATATATATACATATACATATACATATACATATACATATATATATATATATATATATATATATATATATATATATATATATATATATATATATATAAATATATATATATATATATATATATATATATATATATATATATATATATATATATATATATATATATATATATATATATATATATATATATATATATATATATATATATATATTATGTAACTGACCACCCTTATAATTTTTTTTTTTTTTACAATTTGACCACAGCAGTTTAGGATGTCTTAACAATTTAAATGCTATAAAAAAAATTATTAGGTTATAAATATCTTTTAATTGTTGATTTTAAAAATTTTATTTTACACAAAGGCTTTAAAAAAAATAAAAAAGTAATTATAGTGGTTGTTTAATATAAATTTAAAATATATATATTATATATATTATATATATATTATATATATATATATATTATATATATATATATATTATATATATATATATATATATATATATATATATATAATATATATATAATATATATATATATATAATAAATAATATATATATATATATATATATCAGGCCTTGTTTTAAAGCGTTACGCCTAGAGCGATTTACGTACGCCTTAAGCGCTTTTTACGTACGCGTAGAGCTGTTTTGGTTAAGCTACTTTTTATCATTTTTTAACTTTTAAATTAGCGGTAACATAAAAGAAGTAATTAATTTTCAAAAAAACCACATTAACTTTTAAATAACGATATGCAAAGGTATTTATTAAAAAAAAGAATTTACTTTAAAATTAATTGTTGTAACTTTTCATCGCGATATATCTTTCCTTTTTATAGCAATTAATTTGACGCTAAACTTTTTATCTAAATATTTAGCAACATGAAAAATTGTTTGTCAATCCTTAACTACAAATTTTTTGCAATGTTTTTAATAAAAAGTAGTAAATTTTTTAGTAAAAAACTTTTAAAAAGTCTATATTCCATATTTATTAATACAGAATATAAAAGTTTTTTGTAATATAGATTTTTTATAAATTTTTTACTGAATTTATAATAAAAAACATTTGCAAAAAAATTTGTAATTAAGAATTGACATTTTTTTAAAAATCTCAAAAAATGTCTTAATATTTTCGTTATCATGATAACAAAAATATCAAGACATTTTTTCGAGATGTTAAAAAAAATGTCTTTGCTTTTCTTATTAGTTTAATAGTATATAGCTTATAGTTAGTTTAATAGTATATAGCTTTTCTTATTAGTTTATTAGTATATAGTTTAAGTTATGCGGGGGGAGGGGGTCGGCACAGAAAAAAAAATTACATGTTATTCGCAATATTTGAATGAAGACAATTTGTTAAAATTCTTCTGCGCGCGATTCAATAAGTTTTTTTGTCATAAATCAAGTTATAATATAAGGTAAAGAAATCATGACTACAACATCCGCTGATGACACTAATATTACGTTGAATATATTTATATAACGGAGGTTTTATTATGCACGCGCACATTACAGGTTCCGTTAAATAAATACTAAGGCACGTTTTAGTTTAATGACAGTCTCCATTTTTTACTAATGAATATGTATTTTTCTTTATAAAACATAACAAACTAGTATATAAAAACCTTGTATATTTCTATTATCTCTAAATTATTTAAAGTTCGAATATGGATTGTATTTTGAAGGACAAAAGATTTACTTTAAAAACTTTTAAATCTTGGGACTTTGCCGATGCGATGATCACAGAAAAAGAGAAGACTTACCTTATTAAAATCAAATGTAAGTTATGTGATCTTCATCAAATAAAAATATTATCCAAAAACAATAGTGCCGTAAGGGCAACTGCCCAACGGTTTATAAATAATACAAGTCATGTTAAAATATTTTAACATGTTACTATATTTTAATTAAGTTGATATATAATTAAAAATAAAAATATAGTTCAATAAATAAATTAAATTTATTCTTAACAAAGATTACCTTATATTTATTCTTTTTTTTATTTTATTAAGTTAAATTGCTTACAAACGAAAAAAAAAAAAGAGTTTTGTAATTATACGTAGAATGAAAATACTTTTGAGTTTGTTTATAAGTTAAGGAACTTAATTTTTAATAAACAAATTTTTACGAACGTTTATTATAAACAGATACGATTCAAATTATTAAATATACTTAAATTATTTCAGTTGAGTATTTTTATAAGTTTGCACGATTAAAGTTTGGCGTACAAGTATTTGTTTTTTTGTTTTAAGAATAATTAATAAAAGAGTTTGCATAATTAAGACTTTTATATTTAATTTAATTTTTTTTTTAATTTCCTAAAATTAAAAAAAAAAAAGATTTAATCGTTGAAAACAATTTTTCTCTATAGCTCTGTTTCTTTGTGATATGTTTAAAAAGTTGAATATTTTTACAATAACATAAAAAGTTTATGAATTAAATTCCTAGCGAACGCGTTCTAAACTACGTATCAAAAATACGCTTCAAAGCAGACAAAACTTTTTTATATTTTTATAAAACGCAAGTTGAAACGCTTTTAAAAATTTAAAAAATATTTAAAAACTTAAATTTTTCTTTGCTAGTCAAAACAAAATCGTTGTTTAAATAATTAACATGGGTTTGTGTTTATCAATGTTAATATTTTTTGTTTACTCTAGAAATTTTTAAAAATAAAAAAAATCATTACTATTTTTTATTCAATAACGATTAAAAACAATTATTCAAAAACAAATTTCAGAAATAATTAATAAATATATATATATTTTTTACTAAATAATATTGAACTAAAATTAATAATAAAATAACAATTGAAAACATTACAAAATTTTCATAATAAATTTATATTTAAAACGTTTATAGTTTATATTTGAGTTAATTGTTAAATTGAATTAGTTTGCGGTTATTTATTTATTGCGGTAGTTAAAACACTTAACGTCTATAAAAAAAAAAAGATAATTTTATGACGTCAAAATAGCGTTAAGCTAATGCATTAAGCACTTTTTTATTTGAAACAAGGCCTGAATATATATAATATATATATTTTAAATTTATATTAAACAACCACTATAATTACTTTTTTATTTTTTTTAAAGCCTTTGTGTAAAATAAAAACTTTTAAATCAACATATATATATATATAAATATATATATATATATATATATATATATATATATATATATATATATATATATATATATATATATATATATATATATATACATATATATATATGTATATATATATATATTATATATATATATATTATATATATACTATATATATATATATATATATATATATATATATATATATATATATATATATATATATATATATATATATAGTATATATATAATATATATATATATATTATATATATATATATATATATATATATATATATATATATATATATATATATATATATATATATATATATATATATATATATATATATATATATATATATATATATTAGGGTGGTGCTTAAAACACCTTTTTTGAGAAAAACCTGCTGGTACCCCCTAAATATGTTTTATCTAATACAAAAACACTAGGTTTAAAATTTTTTTGAACAAAAATTATTTTTAGGGGTAGCTCAAGGCCCTCAAAAATTTGACGGGTCCCTAATATTTTGAAAAAAAAACTTTTTCTAAAGTATGTCAACCTGGTACTCAAAAGAAGCGATATTGTATAAAAACTTCAAAAATAATAATCATTTTACTTAAAAAACATGCCTAAAAAAAATTATTCTCAAAAAACCTGAAAATATTGACTTTTTTTATTTTCAGCTTAAAAACAATAGTTTTTATGCATTTATACCTGAAAAAATTATTTTTATAAAAAATTATTTTTATTTTTAAATTTTTTATATAATTTTGCTTATTTTGAGTACCAGGTTGACATACTTTAGAAAAAGTTTTTTTTTCAAAATATTAGGGACCCGTCAAATTTTTGAGGGCCTTGAGCTACCCCTAAAAATAATTTTTGTTCAAAAAAATTTTAAACCTAGTGTTTTTGTATTAGATAAAACACATTTAGGGGGGTACCAGCAGGTTTTTCTCAAAAAAGTTGTTTTAAGCACCACCCTAATATATATATATTAACAACTATTTTAAACAACCACTATAATTACTTTTTTATTTTTTTAAAGCCTTTGTATAAAATAAAATCTTTATAATCAACAATCAAAAGATATTTATAACCTTATAATTGTTTTTATAGCATTTAAATTGTTAAAACATCCTAAACTGCTGTGGTCAAATTGTAAAAAAAAATATTGTAAGGGTGGTCAGTTACAGCGAACGATCACACACCATTCCTATCCAAGCCAAGCAATATATATATATATATGTATGTATGTATGTATGTATGTATGTATGTATGTATATGATTAGAATAGTAAAATCTAATCGCAGTAGGTAATCACTTTTATTCATATATACTTTATGTTTAGTCACTCGTTGTTGACCAAGTTATTGAAAAAGTTTCATTCTGTACTCCTGATCCTCATGATGACAAATTATTTTCATACATCTGTCGTGATGGTACTTCAAGAAGATGGTTATGTCATTCTTTCAAAGGAATTAAAGATTCAGTAAGTTTATCTTGTTTATTTTTTTATTTACATATTTTTGTTGTACTTTGACTTTTTGCTTTATTTTTTTTTTGTAGAACTTAATAGATCTTTATTTAATGTAAATTTGTTGTAGAAAGAAACAAATTACAGTCTTTGGGTAACAGTAACTAATATATATATATATATATATATATATATATATATATACACAATATAAATATTGTATATATATATACACAATATAAATATTGTATATATATATATATACACAATATAAATATTGGATGTATGTATGTATATGTATATATATATATATATATATATATATATATATATATATATATATATATATATATATATATATATATATATATATATATATATATACACAATATAAATATTGTGTATATATATATATATATCTTTGTTGTTTGATAGAAATAGAACTTTTATATATTCATTTCTCCTTTTAATTTTCTTTTTCAAGTCAAAATTTAGTTTATAATGTAAAAAGATGCTTTATTTTTGGGCACCTTTATAAACTAGAAGTCGAAAAATTGAATGATCTATTAAAAAGTTTAATTTTATCTATAACTGGATATAATTTGTTTTAGAAAATAAAGGGTTGAGGAGTATTTACCAGCTATTAACGAAATGCTATATTTTAAATAAAGTATTGCTACTTAGAGTTTCATGTGTTACCACAATTAATAGGCAATGTGCCGACTTGATAGTGACCTAAAAGATTGAGGTTGGCAAATTATTGCCGACCTCAATTTTCCTAATTCTGAGTGTTGATATATATATATATATATATATATATATATATATATATATATATATATATATATATATATATATATATATATATATATATATATATATATATATATATATATATATATATATATATATATATATATATATATATATATATATACAGGCTTTGTTTTAAATAAAAAAGTGCTTAATGCATTAGCTTAACGCTATTTTGACGTCATAAAATTATCTTTTTTTTTTTTATAGACGTTAAGTGTTTTAACTACCGCAATAAATAAATAACCGCAAACTAATTCAATTTAACAATTAACTCAAATATAAACTATAAACGTTTTAAATATAAATTTATTATGAAAATTTTGTAATGTTTTCAATTGTTATTTTATTATTAATTTTAGTTCAATATTATTTAGTAAAAAATATATATATATTTATTAATTATTTCTGAAATTTGTTTTTGAATAATTGTTTTTAATCGTTATTGAATAAAAAATAGTAATGATTTTTTTTATTTTTAAAAATTTCTAGAGTAAACAAAAAATATTAACATTGATAAACACAAACCCATGTTAATTATTTAAACAACGATTTTGTTTTGACTAGCAAAGAAAAATTTAAGTTTTTAAATATTTTTTAAATTTTTAAAAGCGTTTCAACTTGCGTTTTATAAAAATATAAAAAAGTTTTGTCTGCTTTGAAGCGTATTTTTGATACGTAGTTTAGAACGCGTTCGCTAGGAATTTAATTCATAAACTTTTTATGTTATTGTAAAAATATTCAACTTTTTAAACATATCACAAAGAAACAGAGCTATAGAGAAAAATCGTTTTCAACGATTAAATCTTTTTTTTTTTTAATTTTAGGAAATTAAAAAAAAAATTAAATTAAATATAAAAGTCTTAATTATGCAAACTCTTTTATTAATTATTCTTAAAACAAAAAAACAAATACTTGTACGCCAAACTTTAATCGTGCAAACTTATAAAAATACTCAACTGAAATAATTTAAGTATATTTAATAATTTGAATCGTATCTGTTTATAATAAACGTTCGTAAAAATTTGTTTATTAAAAATTAAGTTCCTTAACTTATAAACAAACTCAAAAGTATTTTCATTCTACGTATAATTACAAAACTCTTTTTTTTTTTTCGTTTGTAAGCAATTTAACTTAATAAAATAAAAAAAAGAATAAATATAAGGTAATCTTTGTTAAGAATAAATTTAATTTATTTATTGAACTATATTTTTATTTTTAATTATATATCAACTTAATTAAAATATAGTAACATGTTAAAATATTTTAACATGACTTGTATTATTTATAAACCGTTGGGCAGTTGCCCTTACGGCACTATTGTTTTTGGATAATATTTTTATTTGATGAAGATCACATAACTTACATTTGATTTTAATAAGGTAAGTCTTCTCTTTTTCTGTGATCATCGCATCGGCAAAGTCCCAAGATTTAAAAGTTTTTAAAGTAAATCTTTTGTCCTTCAAAATACAATCCATATTCGAACTTTAAATAATTTAGAGATAATAGAAATATACAAGGTTTTTATATACTAGTTTGTTATGTTTTATAAAGAAAAATACATATTCATTAGTAAAAAATGGAGACTGTCATTAAACTAAAACGTGCCTTAGTATTTATTTAACGGAACCTGTAATGTGCGCGTGCATAATAAAACCTCCGTTATATAAATATATTCAACGTAATATTAGTGTCATCAGCGGATGTTGTAGTCATGATTTCTTTACCTTATATTATAACTTGATTTATGACAAAAAAACTTATTGAATCGCGCGCAGAAGAATTTTAACAAATTGTCTTCATTCAAATATTGCGAATAACATGTAATTTTTTTTTCTGTGCCGACCCCCTCCCCCCGCATAACTTAAACTATATACTAATAAACTAATAAGAAAAGCTATATACTATTAAACTAACTATAAGCTATATACTATTAAACTAATAAGAAAAGCAAAGACATTTTTTTTAACATCTCGAAAAAATGTCTTGATATTTTTGTTATCATGATAACGAAAATATTAAGACATTTTTTGAGATTTTTAAAAAAATGTCAATTCTTAATTACAAATTTTTTTGCAAATGTTTTTTATTATAAATTCAGTAAAAAATTTATAAAAAATCTATATTACAAAAAACTTTTATATTCTGTATTAATAAATATGGAATATAGACTTTTTAAAAGTTTTTTACTAAAAAATTTACTACTTTTTATTAAAAACATTGCAAAAAATTTGTAGTTAAGGATTGACAAACAATTTTTCATGTTGCTAAATATTTAGATAAAAAGTTTAGCGTCAAATTAATTGCTATAAAAAGGAAAGATATATCGCGATGAAAAGTTACAACAATTAATTTTAAAGTAAATTCTTTTTTTTAATAAATACCTTTGCATATCGTTATTTAAAAGTTAATGTGGTTTTTTTGAAAATTAATTACTTCTTTTATGTTACCGCTAATTTAAAAGTTAAAAAATGATAAAAAGTAGCTTAACCAAAACAGCTCTACGCGTACGTAAAAAGCGCTTAAGGCGTACGTAAATCGCTCTAGGCGTAACGCTTTAAAACAAGGCCTGATATATATATATATATATATATTTATATATAGGCCTCTGCGGGAAGCAAGAGCTCTTGTGTCGCCTTTACTTCCCTAAAACGGTTTACAAGAGCTACTTACAGCTCTCGCAAAAGTATAATTTTTCTCATAAAAGTATAGTTATCATTTTAAATAAAATAAAAATCACAATGTCATTTTAAAAAAAAATAATTGCATAATACACTGAAATGCTTTTTAAAAGGCACGGTTGTTGCAAAAAAAAATTAGAATAGACGCATCCCGCATTCTAATGACGTAATGTTTGACAATGATGTAATGTACGCTGGCAATGATAAAATGTAAATAACAAATAGTTTAAAATATGAATTCTCAATTATATGAAGCTATGGAAGACTTACAAAATAATGAAATACCAATTTTTAGAAACTAATAGAAATATCAACATTTTAGCTAATTTGAAATTTTCAGATAAAAATTTGATATGAGATAAAAGTTTAAAATACTTGCCACAGTTCACTATTAAAGATATAGAAAACTACAGAAAAAAAAAAGCTAAAATCAAAAATATGGCCATAAAAAATACTCTTGTAAGAGGAAAAAAATTTCAATCTGAAAGATATATATCAGCTGATAGTATTTATGCTACGTATACCCTTACTTATTTATTTGTAAAAGCAAAATGCAAAGCAAGTATGAAAAATGAAGTTCGTGATATAAAGATTTATATTAGCAGACTGTCTAGCTCTGTTAGGAAAGCCTATTGCTCATGCCCTGCAGGAAATAGTGGGTATTGTAATCACGTGATGGCAATATTATTTGAACATGCAGATTATTCTTTAAATTTACTTGAAAATGTACCTGAAGAGATTTCATGCACAAGTAAATCAAAGCAATGAGGCATTCCAAGTCATAAAATTAAAACAATTAAAAACCTTATAATGTTTACCAATGTTCAGAAATTTGAATTCAAGCGTGGTATTAAAACTACCTTATATGATCCAAGGCGAATGAAATCTAAAGAAGATTTAAAAGAAAATTTGTACATTGAAATCAAATGTTGCTTTTTTAAATAAAGATACTGGTATTGTTCATTGTGTACCTGACATTTTCAGCTTTACTGAAACATCATTTGGAAATTTTCTAACTGGTTCTCCTTTATCTTATCAACTTTAGATAAATGAGACCTTTGAAGTTATTACCAATATTAAAAAACTTCCAGCAATTTCATTCAATGTATCCAACATACTTCCTCCTTTACCTCTTGGCTTTTATAATAAAAATCATTGCTATGTACCATGCAACTGAGAACTTAATAAGAAACAAAAAGATTTTTTGTTGTCAATAAAAGTATCTTCTGAACAAAGTAGAAAGTATGAAGCTGATACAGTAACACAAAATGAAAATTCATTATAGTTTTATCTAAGAAAACGTCGTTTAACTTCAAGTACTTCTCATAAAATTTATATCCGCAAGCAAAAATTTGAAACTCTTGTTCAGCAGTTAAGTAACCCCCCAAAAACTGTTGAATTACCAAAGTATTTACAAGAATCTTTAGACAACAGTTATACTTATGAACCACATGTGCAAGAAAAATATATTGAATTTTTAAAAAATAAATTATATTGTAATATTTCAGTTAGGAAAACTGGAATTGTAATACAGCATAATTTATTTTGGTTATCTGCAAGTCCTGACGGTCTGGTACTTGATGAAGAAGCTGAGTATTATTATGGCATAATTGAAGTAAATGTCCCAAAACAAAAAAAATTTATCTATGTCAGAATGTTTATGTGACAATGATTTTTATATTGGATTAGAAAATGGAGAACCATATTTAAAAAAAGACCACCCCACTGGTTATTATACACAAATACAAATGGCAACGGGGTTTTGTAATGCCCATTTTTGCGACTTAGTTGTGTATACATTTAAGGGAATTGCTATCATAAGAACACCTTTTGACGATCAGTTCTTTTTTGAATTAGTTTCAAAATTAAATAATTTTTACATTAACTATTTTCTACCATAAATATTGGATTACAACGTTAATATTCAAGAAATAATATCCATGTAAATAAATGTTTTGATTTTTGATTTTTGATAAGTGGTGGGAGGAAGTTACATAAAAGACAAGTGACTGTCCATAGTTGGTTAATCGATCCATGAAACACTAAAGGAATTTCTTGACTTGTTTGGTGAAATACTTTTATTCTGCGTATAGCTCGTTCTACATGAATTCTCAAAGATGCTATAGTTTGACTTTCTATTGCATCTTCTTTACATAGCTGTAATTGTCTGTTTAAAAAAGATGGTATGTTTAATTTAACATTGATTGTTTTCAAAATATCTGAGATGGTAAACCCACGATCGGCCATAACTGAACCATTTTCATCCCATAGTTCTTTATTAAGAAAACCCGACATTATAACAATTTCTTTGTCAGAAATAGATCCATCATAAAGTTGACTTATAAAAGTTATAGCTCCTGATGGAGAAATACCTAACAATCCTTTATAAGTTACATGATGTTTATAATTAGAGAATAAAGAACTCTGCTGTATTAATGATGAAGTTTCTGACAAAAGAGTTCAGTACAATCAATGATGCATCTTGTTGAAGGAAATGTCATCTTGAAGTTTTCTGGCATATACTTATCAACTTGTTCCCGTGATGGCCAAATAGGAACACTTCCCAATGAAAAATATAGAAAATTTGTCCATGTTATTAAATAACATGATGTTGTAAATTTTGATATTTTGAATAACCAAGACGTGTGAAAAATTGTAAATCTTTTTTTTAGCCACACTAAAAATATATAACTGATCTTTTGTGTTTAATTTTGGTTTTGGACCAGATTTTTCCTCATTGACTAAAATATTAATTTTTTTGGATAGTGATGAGTTGTGATATTTAATGTTTTCTCCATTATTTCCTGGATTTAAAAATTTGTACAAATTAATAAACTGTTCATGCTTAATGCTAATATACTTTTAGAACAATTTTTTGTCTGTTGACATATTTTCATAACTATGAATATATTTTCTTTTATATTGATTTAATTGATTTTTTATTATTTTGATTTCAGATTGTAAATAGCGCATTTTAGATATCAACTCTTGTTTTTCTTTTTGCAATACATCAATTTTATGTTGTCCTCACAACAGCGTCTTTTTAGACTGCTGTCAACCTTGAAGTCAATTAACTGTACTTTGTTATTAATTTTAATGTCTTCGTTTTTAGAAACGTTTTCAAAATTTTCAAGTATTTTTCTTTTCCTAGGTGAAGACCTTTTTTTTTACATCAATTTACTTTTAAAATTAAAAAACAGATGGGAATGCTCCCTTTTTGAAAGTTTTTCTCCCAATATTTGTTGATAATTGAATATCTTCAACTTTAAAATGAAGCTCGCAAACTAAAGTTGTATCCTTTCTAACAAAATTGTCATTACCCCCTTTTCTTTTAAACTGAGAAATAATTTTAGACCACTTATTACAACGAGCAGTGTCCTTAGGAATTTTAAATAATCCAATGCCTGACTTGTTTCCTTGAGAATCGTAAAATCCAATTTTGCATTGTGGAATACAGCAATAAGCTCCACTGCTTCCAAAATCAAGTTTTTCAACTTGTATATGTATGTATGTATGTATATACATATACATGTATAAGATGATAAAAAAATATATTAATATATTTGCATAACGATATATAAATATATGTTTTCGTTTATATATATATATATATTATATATATATATATTATATATATATATATATATATATATATATATATATATATATATATATATATATATATATTTTGTGTATATATATATATATTTTATATATATATATATATTTTATATATATATATATATATATATATATTTTATATATATATATATATTATATATATATATATATATATATATATATATATATATATATATATATATATATATATATATATATATATTATATATATATATATATATATTATATATATATATATATATATATATATATATATATATATATATCGTATCGTTTGGGATAGTGCAAATCCGCATAACTAGCATTGGCTACTTTATTTGGATATTGATAATTTTAACACCAAATATCTATTGTTGGCATAACAAAAACATGAATAATACTTTTTATACTAAAATGAACCGAAAATCGGTTGAAATAAAATTCAAAGTTTTAAACTTCTCCAGTAAAAAAAATGTACTGTAGGTACGCGGTATTATCCAATCCTAGTTACGCGGTGTTTCACTATCACCGACGATATATATGACATCGTATACATAAGCATTAAATTAGCTAATCCTGAAATAAAAGTAATAAACTCTTAACAAAATGTTAAAATACTTCATTGGCAAAATGTCTAATCTAGGGTGAACGCATTAGTCATGCTGTTGGATGTGCATTTGCTGCATGTCTTGCCAAGAAGCAACAACAAAATCAGCAAAATCAAAATTTACAGGTATAATTGTTTTCGAAATATTTATTTCTCATATTTCATTTACAAAGTTTTGTAAAATTATCAACATTCTTTTAAGAGAAACACGTCTACTCGTAAAACATTTGAGAAGAGAACTAATGGTGTTGTTCTCCCTCAACAAAGCGTTGAAACACTTCAAAAACTTAATCAAGAAGAATACAATGGTCGTGTAAACCAAGCTAATCAATCGTTAGAAATTGAAGCTAGGCCATCTGAACCCGTATTAGCTGCTTCTAAATCTTCACCTACACCTAAACAGGCCGATCCTTCCTTTGCTCGCCCACGACCTAGTGTCACTCTTGATACATCTAATTTTACTCGGCATACATCGTTACCATATAGAACAAAAAAGTCTCAAACGGGATCTTCTACTTATCAAGCTCTTACAGAAGATGCTCTTCCTCCACGGTTACCTGTCTCTTCTGATCCATTTTCATCAGCTTTTGCCCCGCAAAGTAACCTACTTGTAGCAGTTAATCAGCCACAACCACTAAATTTAACTAAAGATGCTAACCCGTTTTCGCCACCTAATCAAAATTTCAGAGTTCAACAGCAGATCAGTAAAAATCCGTTCAATGAAAAGTTTGTATAAATTTGCTATAAAAGTATAAAAAAAATGATCCTATGATCAGAATAAAAATTTCGAACACGGTTCGAATTATGAATTGCATTATAATGCAGTTTGCATGGTCAAATTTGCCTATATAAATAAATATAATTAAACAAGTAAATTTAAAATAAGAAACTTCTGTTTAAACTTTTTATATAAATTTGTGTTACTAAAAATTTTCTACTTTTAATTATTTTTTAATTTTAAGTGTATACGCACCAGGTAAATTTTATTAAGTTTCATTTTTGCTGAATGCCAAATATACACGTTTCGTTCGTAATTTCAACGTTTTGTTGAATCGGATGCTTCAATTGTTTTGCTTGTCATTAAGAACTAAAAGTGGTTTTAACTATTTGTCTTATTATGTAGATTATTGTGATTTCACTCTTTTTTTTCTTTTTTTTAAGAAAAAAAATTACTTACATGAATTTAAATTATAATATTTATAATATTTTTTATTATTTGTTATTATACGTTGTATTGACTTGATTGACTGATTTTTATTTATTAGCAAAAACTGTTTTGTACCATTTCGTAAAACTATTTTCTGACAAAATTTGAGATTTTGTCTCAAAATCTTTATGATTAAAGTATTGTAAAGTTTTTTGTACATTTGTTTCATAATTTTAATGTTCTCCATCGCAGTGCTGCACTACCTGATTTGTATAAGCCTGGCATTCTGGCACTCTAACCTGGTATTAAAATATTTTTTGATAGCGTTTAACTGTCGTCCGTCGTCAGTATTTTTTAGAAATTGTTTTTATTTTACTCCCGTTTTTAGTTTCAATTTTTTTTAAAGAAACTTGTTTTTATTTTATGTAACTAAATTATTTTTGTTTTGAGTAGATATTTTTTTAGTAATAGCTGTTGTGTAAAAACGTTGTTCTGATTATATAGCATAGTTATTATTAAATTTGTGAGAATTAAGAAGGGTTTTGGAGATCAAAGAATTATATAACTGTAATTATTTTTTAGGATAGCGTACCTAAAAAAATGCTCCTAAATTCTAACCAAAAAAAGTATATTGTATAAAATTCCCTATTATAGAAAGTCTTTAAGGACGGTTACACTTTTTTTTTTTTTAAATACAGATTTTCGTCAGCTTATGTGCATATGTAGAAAGTTTTTCCGCTATGTAAAAAATCCTGAGGTTTGAAGTTATGAGTTTTTTTCAGTGAAGTAACGCATTTTCTTAAAATGCGTTAAAGAAATATGAGCATAACTCGTGCTTATTAAAATATAAAATAATAAATCTTTTTTTTATTGTCTAATAGATGCCGTCGCATTAAGACAAGGTAATGCACGGCTGTTTCACTCAATATAAAAGCGAGCCTGACGTCACGAGTTTATCAAAAAAAAAAGTATTTCCGCATAAAAAGTATAAAAATTCATTAACTTTAAAATAATAGTATTTTTTTTCTATAAATGCTTTCATCTTCAAATAAAAAAAATATAAAAGATCTATCTTTCCTTGTTAAATAAACATTTACATTAAACGGAATAAAAATGAAAGCTGTAAAAATATTGTTAATAATTTGGCATCACTTTTCTGATTTTTGCGATTTTTACGCAAAACCTGTCTTAGGCCAACTAAGATTTGATAACATAGCTACATGGTCGATGGTTAAAATTTAGAACAGTTATTAATGAATGTCTGTTCTATCTAGATTTCCACAGACTTTGCAAGTTTTTATATAGAAAGTTAGTTTTTAATGCATTTATATTTTTGTTTTTATTCGTTTTGAATAAAAAACATGACATTTTTGAAAAGTCTGTGGATTTAGTAATACTTCAACCTTATATGAATAAGAAAATCAAAAAATTATTTTCTGTACCTCTAGCTATGTTATCAAATATGTTTTCAAACTTGGCATGTTTAGCGACATTTTTTTTAGTTTTTTTTGCATAAATTCTTGTTTACATTTTAAAGCGGTGACGCAAACTCTGATCGTGACGTCCCCAACGATTATCGGATGCATTTTAAGAAAACAAACAAAATAAACGAGACACATTTTATAGAATAAATAACAAAGTTTCGCGGATTAATTTCTCTTGGATATTTGACTAATTTCAGATAAGTTGATCAATCCGATTTTATCTAGTGCATCTATTTGTCAATATTATTCTATTTAAGTTGTTTGTATTATAATTTTATTACTATATCAATAAAGATTATAAAGCAAAGTTTCGTGGATTATTTCCTCGTGGATATTCGACTAATCTCAGATAAGTTGCTTAATTCTTTTATTTTTAGTGTATTTATTTGTAAATATTATTTTATTTTATTTCTTTTATTATATTATTATTATAATATCATTATCATTATTTATGCGATGTATGCAACTGAGAGGGAAATTTTGAAACTGTACATCGGTTGGGAAGATGGTTGGGAAAATGAGTATAACTTTAATTTTGTAAAGCGAGTAATTGACACTAGTAAGATCACTAACAATGTGATTTCAATTTTATTAACAGTTTTTCATCCAAAAGCGTTGTTTACTTTTTTAAGTTTTCTTTTGCCAATTGAATTTAATATGCCTAATATTGATGTGTTAAATAAAATGTGCCGAAAAATAAAACAAAGAAAAAAAGATTCTAAAAAGTATTTTGAAGCTTCAAAAAACGAAGCATTTTTTAAAATGCAACTGTCTCCAGCTCCACAAACAAAAAAACAAAAAAAATCAGCAGATGCAGATAATTTTTATATTTTAAATAGGAATAAGGAACTAAGTAGTCAAGTTGAACAATTAATTTCTAAAGAAAAACATAATGTGGAGCAAATAGATAATTTAAAAATACAGGTATCAAAGTTGGAAACTGAAGTTATATATTTAAATTCTAAAAACAAGGCTCTCAACGCACATTGTAACTCATTAAGTTTTCAATTAGAGACTATGAGTATTAGGCTAAAACAGGAGGAGCAGTTCCAACTTTAAAAAAAAAAAAAAAATTAAAAACAGCACACCGTAAATTTGCATCTGCTCGTGCCAAAAATGTAAGATTGCTAAAAAAATTTAAATTTGAAAAAAAAAAATGCAAAAATCAGTGATATAAACAAGAACAGTTGCCAAATTTGCAAATATTTTGCTAGCAGTGATAAGGATTTAGTTGTCGTTGATTCTTATTTAGACTATGACAACATTGGCTCCTCTGAATTATTCTGTGGGTTTAAATTAAGTAATCCACAGACTATATCAGTTAAAAAGCCAATAGTTGGTAAGAAATATACAATAGTTGGTAAGAAATATACTTACATTAAGTTAGGAGATGGTAAATCTTATTCTAAGTTAGGTAGGCATGCTGCAGCTAGACGATCTAAACTTGTTTTTATATTACTTCGATTATTAGCTTGTTCAGATTTGGAAAGTGATTTGTCTATGTTGTTTTGTGATTCTGTGTCTTGTGAAAAGTCTATGTTTCATTGTGTTGCAAATAAGTTGGGTTTAGTTAGGCAGTTAAGTGTTTCTGATGCTGTAGAGCTGCAGAGCCAATTAAGGATGCCCACGGCTAAATTCCGTAGGCTAAGACGTATTCTGTGTAATCTTGGTGCAAGGATTCTCCCATCTGAGCCCAAGATAAGACAAGAACAAGAAATGCGGACAATGCATGTTAGTAAAGAACATGTTACTGTAAAGTCCATGTTGCTTTATCCATCTGCGAATTAAGCATCTTGTTTAGTTCCTGTATTGATGGTCAAGAATTTGATAACTTATATTGAAGAGGTTTTCAATAGTCTGCACGTTCGTGACCACTTCAATTCTGATGTCGGTTTTTGCGAAGAGGTATGGCTCCTTTTTGCTGGGGATAAGGGTGGGAAGTATATGAAATTCCATTTTGAAGTTGTCAATTCTAAATCATCAGGGTCTGTATATGATGTTCATTTATTTTGTATGTATCAGGGTTCAGACTGTCGTGAGAATATTGCCTTAGTTCTCGGGCATTATGCCAACGACATTAAAAGAATTCAGTCGTCAGATTTTAAGCTAAAAGGCAAAATAGTCAGGTTGTTCTTAGGTGGAGATTTTCATTTTATCGATGATGTAATGGGACACCAGGGTTCAGCTGCTAGCTTTCCTAGTTCTACAGACCTAGTTAAGTTGAATTCTCTAAGAAACCATGCTTCTATGCCTCACATACCTGCTAATTGTAACATCTTAAGGAGGACAATACAATCTCTGGAAAGTGCTTACAATGAGAACTTGTGTGAAGATAGACAAGGTGGAAACCTAAGAGCTCTAGGTAAGTTTCATAATTCAATTAAGAAACCACTATAAACTTTGTAGTGTTATTGATGATGAAGCAATTAAAAATAGATTTGTACGTGTGTTTAGTGTTTTTAATAACTTGCAACCTATTCTTTTTAAGCGAAAATTTCTTTCTGATGCCGAAATTTCTGAGCTTCATCAATATATAAATTTATTTGCTATTGAGTTTCATGCTTGCTTTCCAAAAGAAAGTATCACGCGAAAAATGCATGAACTCATTTTCAATGTGCCACTATTTGTAAAATTGCATAAAACTATTGGGTTGCTGAGTGAAGAGGAGGGAGAGTGTTTGCATAATAGCGTAAATAAGGAATTAAGGCAGTTGCATTCAGTTAGAAATCAGGAGCAAAAGCTGCATCTTGTTTTAAAACGCTTTGAATTGCACAGCAAAGCTGATAGGAAGCTTCAAGCCTCTAAGGTGAGAAAGTGTGTTGTGTGTTCAGAACGTGGCGAAAATTCATTTTATAGACAAGGTCTTTGTTTTGTTTGTGGTCATCAAATTTAGTTTAAATGTTTGAAAAGTTAAAAAAAAAATTAAACTTTTTACATCTAAGATAAATTATATAAGATCCTTAATTTACAAATAAGAGAATTCTATTCTGTTTTAATGCCTGTAATGTTTGTTCAAAATAATAATAATTTTTTATTACAATGATTTTATATATTAGGTAGATGCCCATTCTGTTCCTATTTTCAAAAGTTTATTATATCTATGCAATGCCTTTGCTCAGGTTAAAGAATGGAATAAAAGTCTAGCATCAAATGTATAGCTAACTATTTTAATTTGTGATCAGAGCAACTGGTATGTTTGTTAAATATGATTTTGTATGTTTATGTAGTTAATTCAAAAAACGTTTTATCCTTTGTTATGTAATATGTAACATTTTTTATATATATTAGATCTCCGTTCAATTTTTATCATCAAAAGTTAGTTCTACCTTCGCAGGACCTCTGCTCTACATACCTCCTCTCTGGTTAAAGAATGGAATATAAGTCTCATTTATCAAGTTGGTGTAAAAATTTAGCTTGATAAATTAAGAAGTTGTAAACTTTATTATCACAATTGCCAAGTTGACCAAATGTTCTTCTGGTTTTAAATGAATTATGTATGAGTCTAGTATCATCTGGGTGTTCAAAGATAGTTTACTGCTTGAAGAACTTATCAATGGACCAACTAATTATAAAACAGTTTTTAATGAAAATAAAAACGAATTATCAAAAGATTTAAATCAGCTATTTGTGTATATTTAAACACTTTATTTTTTGTGAGAAGAGATTATTGATATAAGTACCATAAAATAATTCTACTACCAAAAGCTAGGTTAATTCAAAACCTTTAACTCAATTTTGGTCATGAATTATTTTATTAGAATTGATGAGTTTTTATTTATTAACTACCTAACACCATATTATTAGAACTTTATTTTGTAATGTAATGATTTTATCAGCGTTCCAAAATAATTTTCTAAATCAAGAACTTCTATATTAAAAAAAGTACTCATTTAACAACTAATCCCCCCTTATAACAACGTTTTTCATAATTTTGCGAAAAATGTGGTTTGCTTTCACAATTCGATTAAGGCTGTTTTAGTTAACCTTAAATAATTAAGTAAGGTTTTTTTGTTTTCATTATTGTCAAACAATTAGTGTATTTGATAATAA